TGAACACCTCGTATGTTAGGAACTCGATAATATTCTGTATTCTTTTTGCTGGGATTGGTGATTTCTCAGACCTGTAAGTATTGAGAAAATCATTTGAATCGAACCGTGCCTGAAAACTGCGACAAATCTTTCCTTTATAGCAAAAACGGGAATTCCCCGTACGTCTACGTGGACACATCTGCATCGCGTAAAATTAGACACCAACTCATAATACGTAGTAATCCTAGACCAACATGGTTCCAGAGCAGTGTAGTCTGCACAGCACTGACCGAAAATTGCAAAACGCGCTTTCTCTTTCTTTTCATTCTTACTTCTCTGTGTTTTTCTACAGTTTTGAACCACTATCTACAAGGTTTCATTCCATAAGACCAGTTCAGTACCTCAAAAAAGAGCCCCCAAAACGGCGCGACCCAGCAGCATAGCACAGTTAACATTATTAGCCAAAGGTAAGTTATTCCGCTCTCTTATCGCTTACTTTGCCATGGACAAATCAAAGATCCCTAAGAACTGTCTCAGCGAGGTCTGGTACATAACATTCACCATGCTCATCTCAACGATCAAGAAATAAAGAATGGATCCCCGTGTAGCCACGGGACGGAACTCCTCACGCGCTAAGTTGATCTTCACTTCAGTCTCAGCTGCCACAGCAAGCTTCTCGCTTACTTCCTCAGCTGTCTCTTTAGTGGTCTTCAGCACGGCTACGAGAGACTCGTCCTCTACTAATGATCCCTGTACAAAAACACAGTATGATGCCGGCTCATCTTCTGATTGACTTTCAACCTTACCTTACCTCATTATTATGTTACCTGTGAGGTCACTTGTTGTACCTGACCCCAAATAGCCTGTGTGGTTGGCGGTTGGTAAGTTATGTACGTGAACAGGGGTAAAAGTAAGAAACCCCTTGTCCTCCTCTCCATTCTTTTCTCGGTTTCGGAAAAAACGTTCTTACCGACCCTGCTAGGTGCATGGATGGGTTCGCACACCGCACTCACGCTGACAAAACAAGGTGTGTTTTACAATGCCTAGCAGAGCACATCAACTCAAATGATACACGGATTAGCATCAGCAGCCCTAACAACAGTTCGTTTCGTAACAAGGTAAAATATAATTAACAGTAATCTAATAGCCAATATTTCTGGATTAACCCAACGCAAAATGAAATCAAAACAAAACTGACCTGAGTACTTGTCAGCCTGTACAACAAATTGTCTTCAAGCTCCTTCATTTTCCTCTTGTTAGTCGTCACATCTTCCATCAGCTTTACTCGTTCTGCTTCTAACTCCTTCAAAATCAAAGAAATAGTTTTAACTATTTGTACAAAACGGGGACTATGCAAACGTAACTGAGCAAGACTTGTAGAGGAGAAGCGTGGCGTAGGGCAATATAAACTACGCTTCACCTCTTTTTCTGTATTGATGACTCTTCCCAGAAGTTGTTCTTCCAATCCTTTCATAGTCACAGTAAAGTCGATGATTGCTGTTCGTGCGCTGACCTAAAAAGTGAAGGGAAAACACTTCAGCATTCATCTACATCAACTGAAGATAATTCAAATGCAATGGTCAAAAAGACAGAGTTTCTTTCCCTCACCTCCGGTGTGTATGAAGGGTTTCCTAGTTTTGTTGTAATGTACATTCTAAAACCGCTCATCACGTCACATTCTTTATCTCCAACTTTAACCTAAAACATGCAACGAAAAAATCTATAGTTTTTGGATTCGTTTTTACACCCAACCCATCCCAAACTTATAACATGTAATGAGCAATGAAATAGTGATGAAATAGTGTTTTACTACCATCTCTGTTAAAACTTTGGCTTTTATTCTTGAGTTATAAATGGTCAAACAAATGGGTTTTTAATTTTTTTGAAGTTCCTTCAGTGAAATCTTCACAATTTTCACAGTATTTCGAATACAGCGCGATACGAATTTTAAACACGAAAATAGTAGGGTTTGTACAGGCAATTTATTTTTCGATTTTTGCACATTTATGTGTTTCACGCTGCGGAAAAACTGGACAGATAGATTTCCCTTAAAAACGAGCTCCAACTGAAGTAAAATATTTATTAGCAGTTTGCTAAATTTTACGAAATTTCACCGAAGGAAACGCGAGAAAATTCGCCGTCAGTTTTTCTTTTTGTTCCCGTGTTATCGAACAACACAGCTGACGTTTTCCTCCGAGCGCGCGCAGATTATTCAAGCTTTCGTGCTCAGCGCACGTGCGATCGTAAAACTATAGAGAGCCACCTTAACGTAACTAACGAGTACTGACTGGTGAATCCTGAGTGAATTCGCGCTTTTATAGTTATTTCGTTACAACAACATCCAGACAACATTGTGACTTTTTTTTCATTCTTGTGTCCGAAGCTTTCTTTTAGTAACTTATTACCGTAGCGGCAGTGCATAGAGTTTCTAATTGTTACTGATATCCCGAGTTTAATAAGCCACTTAGCCAACAGAAAATCACTTACTTCTAGTCGCAGAGAATGGACCCTGTTCTCGCGAAATCGCCGATGCAGTTGCGCACGCTCAGAATTCAAATTGAATTTTACCTTGCGCGTGTGTAAAGTCCTCGTCAATTATGTCGTCATAGGACTATTACATGCATTCTTAAGCAAACAGAGTTTTACTTCTACAAGTTATCTAACGTACACCCAACCGACTACGGGGTTTACCTTTCACTTATCATACTCAACTTTTATTCCACCTTTCTCTAATGACGTGGGTAAGTATGTTAAGTATTTTTCGCAGTTTTATCTGCTGGCGTTATGTCCTAGCCTTCGTAATTATAAACTTTCGTTAACAACAGTTCNACTCGTTCTGCTTCTAACTCCTTCAAAATCAAAGAAATAGTTTCAACTATTTGTACAAAACGGGGACTATGCAAACGTAACTGAGCAAGACTTGTAGAGGAGAAGGGTGGTGTAGGGTAATATAAACTACGCTTCACCTCTTTTTCTGTATTGATGACTCTTCCCAGAAGTTGTTCTTCCAATCCTTTCATTGTCACAGTAAAGTCGATGATTGCTGTTCGTGCGCTGACCTAAAAAGTGAAGGGAAAACACTTCAGCATTCATCTACATAGACTGAACATAATTCAAATGCAGTGGGTCAAAAAGACAAAGTTTCTTTCACTCACCTCCGGTGTGTAAGAGGGGTTTCCCAGTTTTGTTGTGATGTACATTCTAAAACCGCTCATCACGTCACATTCTTTATCTCCAACTTTAACCTAAAACATGCATTAAAAAAAAAATCGCTAGTCTTTTGATTCGTTTTTACACCCAGTCCTCTCAAACTTATTACATGTAATAAGCAATGATGAAATGGCGTTTTACTACCACCTCTGTTAAAATTTTGGTTTTAGTCTTGAATTATGAATGGCCAAACAAATGCGTTTTTACCGATTTTGTGGCTTTTTGTGTTTATTTTTTTTGAAGTTCCTTCGGTGAAATCTTCAAAACTTTCACAGTATTTCGAATCCGGCGCGATACGAATTTTAAACACGCAAATAGTAGGGTTTGTACGGGCAGTTTTTGTTTTTTCGATTTTTGCAAATTTATGTCTTTCACGCTGCGGAAAAACTGGACAGATAGATTTCACTTAAAAACGAGTTCCAACTGAAGTAAAATATTTATTAGCAGTCTGCTAAATTTTACGAAATTTCACCGAGGGAAACGCGAGAAAATTCGCCGTCAGTTTTTTTTGTACCCGTGTTATCGAACAACACAGCTGACGTTTTCCTTCGAGCGCGCGCAGATTATTCAAGCTTTCGTCCTCAGCGCACGTGCGATTATTACATGCATTCTTAAGCAAACAGAGTTTTACTTCTACAAGTTATCTAACGTACACTCAACCGACTACGGGGTTTACCTTTCACTTATCATACTCAACTTTTATTCCACCTTTCTCTAATGACGTGGGTAAGTATGTTAAGTATTTTTCGCAGTTTTATCTGCTGGCGTTATGTCCTAGCCTTCGTAATTATAAACTTTCGTTAACAACAGTTCTCTCGAGACGTTTTGTTTTTGTAAACACAGTTAACTGAATATAGAAAAACGACCTCTCCACGTCTCAGGGATACCATAAGAGTGCTAACTTCCATTTACCGTGACAATATAACACTATAACATAACAATATAACAATAATAATATAACAATATAACACTATTGTCCAATAAATAGGTTGTTTTCTCGAGCTAACAAACCTTAAAGGTGGAGCCCGACTTGATAAAGTTCTTCTCAAGCACATTGTCCAGAGCAGGGTCCAGTTCTTCTCCGACGTCTTCGATGAGAAGGGGTCTGCCGAGTGACAACGCGTCCTCAAGATGATTCCGGAAGTACTTATGGTTGAGTGACGTTACCTGATCAAAAGGAAGTGAAATATTAGTACTAGACTAGTATAACAAAACTAAACTGACTGCTGCCACGGAGCTTCGTAGCTGAGTCCAACAAATTTCCGGCAATAAGCAATGAAACGTTCATTATCAGCGAGTGCGGGCTGGATTGATTTTGAATATCTCATGAAGACAGAGGAGGACATTTAATAACAGGTCAGAATGCGTAATCATTCTCTTGCAGGTTTTGAAACGTCATAAATGAGAATCAGATAATTGCGCGCTAGTGACTAAAACACTAATGAACTTGATTCTCGCATTAAGAGAAACATGTAAACAAAAACATTGGGTTAAGCATTTTTACGAGTTCTTCGACCTCTGCAAAGCTCAGTAAAAACAAACGCAGAGACAAACTCAATTTACTCCATTAGCCATAAATTCACCATATATTCTTATAGGTAAAAAAATACATTAAGAGCTCGGTCACACCTGCAGNAAAAACGACCTCTCCACGTCTCAGGGATACCATAAGAGTGCTAACTTCCATTTACCGTGACAATATAACACTATAACATAACAATATAACAATAATAATATAACAATATAACACTATTGTCCAATAAATAGGTTGTTTTCTCGAGCTAACAAACCTTAAAGGTGGAGCCCGACTTGATAAAGTTCTTCTCAAGCACATTGTCCAGAGCAGGGTCCAGTTCTTCTCCGACGTCTTCGATGAGAAGGGGTCTGCCGAGTGACAACGCGTCCTCAAGATGATTCCGGAAGTACTTATGGTTGAGTGACGTTACCTGATTACAAAGGAAGTGAAATTAGTAGACTAGTATAACAAAACTACACTGACAGCTGCCACAGAGCTTTGAAGCTGAGTCCAACTAATTTCCAACAATAAGCATTGAAACGTTCATTATGATTAGCGAGTGCGGGCAGGATTGATTTTGAATATTTTGAAGACAGAGGGGGACATTTAATAACAGGTCAGACTGCGTTATTATTCTCTTGCAGTTTTTGAGACGTCATAGAGAATCAGATAATTGCGTGCTAGTGACTAAAAACACTAATGAACTTGATTCTCGCAGTAAGAGAAACATGTAAGCAAAAACATTGGGTTAAGCAATTTTACGAGTTCTTCGACCTCCTCTGCAAAGCTCAGTGAAAACAAACGCAGAGACAAACTCAATTTACTTCATTAGCCATAAATTCACCATATATTCTTATAAGTAAAAAAATACATTAAGAGCTCGGTCACACCTGCAGCTCATTTTCCTTCTCTCGGCTCATGATCCACGCCTTGCCTTGCGTTTGGGGATCAATAAGAAGAGGATAACGCGTTGCCTTGGTAACGATGATGCCGTTCTGAATAGAGAGCTCGTCGCTCGGTAGCCCGTGAAGGTTCCATTCACCAATCTGCGGAGAAACAAAATCTCTTTGAANGGGGCACTCGGGGCAATTCTTTCTTCATGACTCCAACAAGGCCTTGAGTGATCTCGTCCAGTTCATCACGGGCAAACAAGTTCGATACCTAGCGAAAATCAAGGAAAGAAAAGACGTCTTTAGTACCGGTTAACTACCTAACACATCTTTCTTAGTACTACAGTGGAACTATTAAGTAAGAACGGAAGCGCCCTCGGGTTTTTTTGTTTTTGTTTTTGTCTTTGACGAAGGACCTCATCACGGATTCTTGGTGATGGATGACAGGAATTACCTTTGTTATTTTAAGAAAGTGGTAGTCTAGAAAATGAAATTAAATTCTATGATACCTCTCCGGATGAAAGTACGTTGTTGAGGTATTCCAGGAAACTTTCATCCTTGATCTCGTTGTCTGTAAAGATGAACGTAATACCGTTTCCTTCAGCCCCTGCCACGCGGTACAGGAACTTGAGGTCGTCCATCAAGTTGCTCACATTGTAGGACCTAGCCATTAAAACAGGAACGAGTAAGTTAAATGAAAATTCTTCAAACATGAAGCATTCCTTTGTTAGTGTGAAGAGGCATTTTCTGGTTTGTTTGGGGATGTGAAGTAATATATCAAACACGGCAATGAACCTTGTTTGACCAATTACCAAACACTGAGAAGCAAGTTGAAAAATACGACGCGCAGCGGAGTAATTTTGTCGAGCTTCGAAGTGCTTGATATATCTTCTCAATCGAAACTAAAAATAACCAGGAAACGGAGAAATAAAATCTAAAAAAATCTGTGCTAATTAGATTACATACCAAACACCGTTACGGTTTTGTTTAAACTTGATGAATTATTAATGAGTTTGAGAAGTGAGCAAGCGATCATCGCAGTTGTTTACAGTTCTTGGACTGCACCTTAGGTGCTCCTTACCTTGTCAGTGTGATCTGGAAAATCTTATATCCAGCGATAAAAGAAGCCAGTCGTGTAAGAGACTGTTTGCCTGAGCCACCCACGCCAACAAGCAGAGCATTCCCGCAAGGCGTACGGATAATACGAGAGATCTAAGGAGAAATAACTTGAACACTCAATAAAAGACTTTAACTGAAAACCACAGCTCGTAAACGCGGCATGGAACTACATTTCTTAATTACTGGAATTTCGCAATTTTTTACTGGAGTTTTAAAGCATTAATTTGTTGTAGAACTTTATGATCTGCGCCACTCACAACAGTTGTGACTTACTTCCGACCCAGGCATTCACTCAAAACAAGTAAACTTTTTGCAAGTTCAGCTCTTTAGGTATGAGAAGAACTGCTGTTAGACTTTCCTTGCCTTGGGAAACAAAGTAATAAAGCAGAGTTCACCTTCACTAGATGAGTCATGGCGTCTTTGAAAAACACCAGGTCCAAGTGTGCCCCTCGAACCGTATCGTTGTACATGGCCATGTATTGACCAAGCTTTTCGTTCAAGAAATCCAGCGTCGGCACCTGCAGAATAGTCACGACAACACAAATACCATAGAGCCATTAGTTAAATTAAGCACTTGTTTTGGTGTAATTTAACATCTAAAGGCCTACATAAGATCACAGGTACCCAAAAAACAGTAGCAGGATTTTGTACTTGAGGACGGTTCCAGGAATACTATTTAGAAATGAGGATGAGTGAAAATAGCGAGGATGGAAATGGATTACATAGCTGGGCAAACACAAAGAATTTTTTGTCGTGGCATTTTTTTCAATCATTTCTTGCGATAGACAAACCGAAAGTGGCCAAAATAGGAAGAATTGAGGTTAGGATTAGAGACGAATGAGACGGAGGCCACATAAGCTCATAGCTCTAATCTTGACCGTGGATAAATAAAGTCTTGATTTGATTTGATTTGAATTACGAAAGGATTCCAAACTCGAAACATGCGCCACATGCGACGAGCTAAGATTTCCGAGTTTTCTTTGGATTACAAAATTTTTGCAACGACTTTCAAATAAAAAGTGCTTTTGCAACTGCTCATAGCAATAACATAATTTATTTATTTTAAATCGAGGTGCCCTCCTGTAGTTCTGCCTACAGCCTGAGTAAAGACCTAGTTCCACTCTTAGTCTAACTGTTCAGTTGTAATTCAAAACGTTCGTTTACCATTTCGTAAATCTTGGGAGCTTCCAAATCTGCATCTTCGGGTTCTTCGCCTGTTGGTTCTGGAGCATCTCTGAAAGTCAAAAATTAACTAAGTACTGTATTTACTAAATAAACGCTTTGAGTGTTCACTGACTTTCTGTAGCATGATACAGGGTCTGATTTCTTTATAATCTAGAACATAAAAATACATTTGACCGTTTGAAAAACTTAGTTCATCATCACAATCAGGGTAAATTTATACTATCGTGGGTGCAAAGTAATTAAGTCGAGGTCATTAAGAGGAAGGGTATAAAGTTCAACAACTAAATGTGTACGCATCTATTTCATTTTAACGGCTGTATATTAAAGAATTGCATCAAACAATGTTTTTTGCTACACTACGTGGGTAGAAATGAGTACACATCAGTAGAAATAGGTCTGTGATACTTTGTGAATTCAGTATTTGTATTTCACATTTAACTGTAGAATTACAAGAGATCCCAAATATAAGGAGTCATGTAAACTTAACTCATCTGATACAGGAAAATCACGATGCTCTCTTTCAACAAGACGCAGAAATATTATATAGTAATAACTAAGTTGATCCCATTGCGCAGTAGACACGCTTACACATTGTGAACCTATTTTTCTTAGTAACCTTAGGAAATCCACAAAGTAAGGCTCGTCCATCAGTTGCTCCACGCCTTCATCACCCATTTGATCCTGGATCACCCTCGTCACCGTCTTTTCAAACCACTTGCGGTCAGCCTCGTTCGTGAAGCGATCGGCTATGACTCGGGTACACTCGTGTTTCCACAGAGCTAACACAACCCTCTTGGTGTTCACTTCGTCACCAGCTACGTTTAGCATGCCTTCCCATATGCGGGAAAGATCACGCAGGTTGAAAATGTAGTGAAACTTAGCGGGTGTAGGTAACATCTTGGCCTGGAAAAAAGACCAGCATTTTTGGTTTGATTTGTGGGGCAGTCTTTGGTGGAAAAAGGGGAAAATTCAGTCAATTCGTAACCATTAATCCCTTTACCTACAAAGCCATGCAAATTGCATGGGCGTTCTGGGCTCTAGGCATTTATGATACTAGTGATCTAGACGAACCTTAAGTGAACCTGATAGACAAATCCAAAAAGAGAGTAAAGTAGCAGCTCCCTAGGCAGAGCCAGACTGTAATAAATTCCCAAAAAGCTCCGGTGTCACAAAAAATGAGCGGCGTTCTTGAAAAAAATTGTCAGAGTGACGCATTTCATAAAACTCCATAGGTGGCAACTGAAGTCACGTTCTTAATCTTGAAAGCAGTTTTTTCCAAAAGTAACAGTTCTTCCCGCAGTAGCTTGAGGTGTATGACCATTTTGGTATAGGAGAATCTTTGTCTACTTTTTTCCTCATTAACATACGACTCTGCGCCGAGAAGAAATCACGCTAGACATAATCTGACAACAAGCATTTAAAAAGTTTGTGAAACTTAGTAGTTGGTGAAATTTTTGCCTCTTTAGTTGTAATATTCGAGGAGTACCCGGCTTTCAAAAACTGCAAATTTTCTGGGTGGCAAAAGCGCAAATGAGCTCATACATTCTTTGTAAAATTTTGAGTTTTTAAACCCGCGTCGCACAAAAAGTATTCAATACATCGGGCTCAAATTCCTTGAGATAGTTAATCGCGCTGTGCTCTTTCAATATTCAGAACTAATGTTTTTGTAGCTCCATCAGAAATTGCATCGCTTATGCTAATGAGGCAAACATTGATTTGTCAACAAAGATTCCCCTATAACACCGCAGTGAAAGATCATTAATGCCAAGTCCACCGAGACCTTCAGATATCAGTCATTGAAAGAATTCAACTGCAAGAGTTTACCTGTTTTAACTGGCGTGCACTTACGAAGGTGAATAATAGATATTGTTCAGATACAATCATACAAAAAAGGTTTCATACCTTCGTTTGTTGCCAAAGAACTCTAGTAGAAGCCACAAGCTCAGAAACAACACTGCAAACTTCATCTGTGAAGCGCGCTGAACAGAAGTAACCATTACCAATGACACCTGTCAATAAAGCAAAATACAATATGGGCACTGATAAAGGGAATGTATGGTTTCTCAAGGGAATGTAGCCTTAGCAAGGGCTTGCTGAAGAGTGCTTCAAATAGTGTATCAAAAGCGAAAGACCGTGTTTGACCACACTTCTAAACACCAAGCTATGATTGAAAATATGACGGGAAGCGAAGTATTTTTTAATGAACTTCGAGGAGATGGAAATTTCGCTAAGCATCGTCTTAAGGAAAAAACGGAGAACTAAAATCGCAAAAATCTATACTTATTAAAATCAGATATCCAAAAACACCGTCACGGTCATGATTTCCGTTGATTCAACTACTGAATGATTAATGAGTTTGAGAAGATAGTAGTCCCAGCTAGTGAGGGAGGCGACAGGTCAATGATCCTAGAAACAGAAGGAATGCCTACCTAGCAGAACTAAGTTGGCAGTTTTCATGTCGGAAATAAGTCTGATACATGCAGTTTCAAAACAAGCATATTGGGACAAGTAAACGTAAAAGCTCTATTAAGCCTATAATGAGAGCTTACCAGAACGTTTACAGTAACCTGACCTAATCAGCTAGCGAAGATAAGATAGAGCTGGAAGATTGTGCGGTGTAGATTTCAATGATTGCTAATATCTCATGTAACACAGTGGATAGCACTATAAAAAGAGACTTTATAAGGATGAATACGTCTGTTTCTCTGTAGAATCAGACCACGTCTAAAGAGGAGGAGAAAAAACGAAGGTGGCTTAAACCCCACCCCACCCCTCAACCCTACAGAATTTCTTTAAACTTGTTTCTTAACATACCTATCACAATTCGATAATGAAAAAAGGGTTTCATCGAGAAGTTTTTGAATTGTAAGCACTTAAATGTTAACTTAATTAAGGGTCTTTTTGACAACGTTTATCGTCGCTATGGGAACGTATTGTGCCATAAAGATATGACTATAAAAAGTACTGATCCATCGAAGTCTAACTGCTTGAAAGTGCTAGAAACTTTCGTCAGCCTTGTTAAACCGATTGATCTTTGTAGTGGGTGCTGAATGCTGCGGTATGGAATGAAGCATGACAAATTCAGATTTGTAGTTTGAAGGAACTTACCAAATATCTTGTCGATGGACGCATTTGAAGGAAGAGTGCAGTTGAAGATAGAAAATTGACGCTTGAGTCGTTCAGGAATATCATTCCTTCCTCCTCCAGGGTGAATCATGGCAGCGATGAACTGAATGTCTACAATGTGCGTGAACTCTCCAGGCTTCTCCAGATTGTAGAACCCTTGTTGTTCCATCACTTGGCGAACAATCTCGTTTGTTACCTACACGGTAAATCATTAGTTACTGAACCAGGTGTCCACAGAAATATTATCATTCTGACTAACGTCAAATGCAATGGAATGAGTTGACTAAACACCCCACAAGTTGTAACAGTGACTTTGGTTCGGTAACAGCTATTTCACTAGCGGCAAACCTTAAAGATTCATTTGAGCCGTGTGGTGCGTACTAACATGTGCCGGTATGGCCACATGTGGCTACTGTTACCTATTGCCAAAATCACAAACAAAGCCAGATGGAACTTTCAAGGGAACAAGAAGGTTAGGAGGTATTTAAATGACAACGGCTAAAATGTATAAATGGAGTCTTGAATAAATGAAAAATTGCTCAGAGCAGAGCTAAGGGAAGGTATATCGGACCGATGAGCGCGCGCCCATGGGATTGTAGGAGCGTGGTGAGCATTACAAGAAATCCCTTAAGTGCCAAAAAAAAGAATACTTACCTGATCGCCCCATTCGTTGATGATGGGCATGTTGACGTCATCAATGAAGCAGGTCATCTTGCGCCCAGCTGGAGGGCCATACGTGGTACCCACACGTTTATCTACATAGCTCTCAATTGTGCGCTATGGACGAAACATAATTATACGGGCTCAAAGTTAGTCTAACAGCTATGTAGATTGAAGACTCACAGTGCCTTTGATGTTTAGTGAAATGTTTAATACCTGGAAGAGCAGAGGCGTGGTAGCCGAGGAGAAGTTCACACTCTTACTCATGTGTAATTCAGGGTTGTACTTGGCAAGGTAGCCTTTGATCATCACTGTCTTAGCTGTACCCTGTTCTCCAATCAGCAGCACCGCCTACAACAAAGTAATCAGAGCGCGCATTAAGGCACAAAATACGTCACGTCTTGTTATTCTTACAAGAAGGTCTGTTGTCCTTGTCAGCGATCTACAACACTTATGTAGAATGATAAAAACCGAATAGTAAGGTCCATCTAGCAATAAAAATTTGAGTCGTTACTTCTGTTACTAGCGGTTCAAGACATATGGAAATTAAGCTGCGATTAATGTGGCAGGTAGCGCAAACGCCGTCTTGTTATCATTACATCTGCGTGTACGATACTCGATGTATATCAGAGTGCTTTCCATACCATAATTTGCAAGGAACTAACACGATATAGTAAAATGGCCAAAGAGGCCGCAGTAATAATTTAGATTAGGAACACAAAAAAGTTAATGCAGCTGTTTTAGGTATCAACTATCACTTCCCTGAATGAATTGGAAAACTCTAATTTTAAGTATTTACAGCTAGGAGTTTTGACGATTACTTAAAGATATGCGTCAAGAAGGGGCACGCTTGACTTCAACTTGCCGCCCAAGGTTTAAAAATGACGGTGTCTGTGCTTAATTTTCCAGCCCTAATACTTTAAACAAAGCGCGAACCTTGTTTTGTTTGGCGATGGTTTCCATGAGGAAGCTTGTCCTGACATTGTCGACATTTGGTACCAGAATAGAGGAATACTCGGGTTTATAATCAGATGGATAGATGTACTCTTGCACTCGGTTTAGCCAGTGTTCCCAGTTACCTAACAACATCATAAAACAGCACCAACTTTCATTAAACTTCCTTTAAGCTCCCTCATGAAATCAACTGCTCAACGCATTAGACTTCGGTTGATTTTGGTCGGCATTTTGCCCTTTTTTCCGAGATGCGAGGAAAAAAAAAGGAAAAACCCTCTTGTCGCAACAACCAAAAGCATTCGGAATGTATAATTTTTATTGTGATCATGCTTCCATTACAACTTCGTTCTACCCAACCAAAATGGTGACTATAGTCGGACATAAGCACTCTCAAGAAAATAAATTGCATTTGTGGCTCTGTTAACATATTGTTACTTCAAGGCGCTGGACGAAAGAATTCTCACACGTTTAGAAAGTTTATTTCATACGTTTAGGATATTACGATTTCATATGGTAACTAAAGAAATGAAACTGTTCATCCTGTAATTAGTCAAACCGCTTTACCTACCGCTGTTATCTACAACAAACTCAAATATGGTGTCCTGGCTTCCTTTATCAATATCTGGTAGAGAGAGCTTTCCGTGATTGACAAGGAATTCCTCCATCTTGGCTCGATCATCCAGCTCAAGCAGGGCACCCACGCCCCACATGAGAGCGAACACGAACAGGCGACTCAAATGTGTGGCACTCAGAACACCATGTTCCTCTTTACATGGAATAAGACCTTCCAGTAAGTCAATACACTGTATAACAGACATGAGAAAATGAATGTATGAGATAACGATATAGCCTGTTTCGTTTACTGCTAAGAGAAGTTATCCAAGGCCGACCTTAGTTTCATAAGTCACTTTCTTTCAAATGCGTCTCATTATAAGGGGAGATCTTGTTTTCACTTGAAAAAGGTTAAACTGAGTTTCAAATATAGCTTTCAGCCCCACATCATCCATCAAATTCCCTCGTACGTCCACTTGTGAAAGTGCGAAAAGCGAGCTGTCGTCCATAGAACGGCAAACTGAGTACATTTCTTCACCAGTGTTGAAGGGGTTAGCAATATCGAGGAAAGTGAATTGTGCCTCTGCGAGTTTGGTAATTTAAAGCAAAGTCAGACGGTGACAGTGACTAACTAAACCGCACAGAGGACTCGCGAGTCAACTGACGCACTCACAGCCGAATACGCTGAGCTGCACAGACCTGCGTAATAACGTTACACTCTAACACGTCCATCTTGGGAGAAAGGCTCTGCTTAACAAAAGTGTAAACTTCATCAAACACGCAATCAAACAACGGCTCCAACACATCATGCTCCTGAACCTCTCTCTTGTTTAGCCAAGCCTGAAAAAAGGTTGATGATTCAAAAGATCAGTAAGCTCTTTCGTACAGGTCACACGTTACGATGTTTCAATCAGACTTTTTTTACTTTGTTATTTGGCATTGCTTTTGGTATGTGGCCTCTAGGAAGTGCGTACTGAGTTCCATTGTCTGGTATCAGGGCAGAACGTACAGTAAATTTTACGACTTTCGTTAGTTGTAAGAGGAAATGTCACCTCTGCACACTGCAGTTCTTTACACAATCCAAGCATTGCGTTATGTCGTCAGGTTTGGCAAGGTTTGATTTGGCCTAAAGCCATATACGTAGAAGTCATTGAACTCCAATCGAATTCATTAAACATGTATCACAGTTACTACATGTTTTAGTACCTTGACTATAGGCCTCCAGTCCATAACAGACGAACTCATGTACACCATCCCGTTACGTGATACAGTGGCAGGTGAAGCGTTGTCAATGTTGTGCGGTTCAAACACAACTTTACACTGGGGTGACATTGGGATTCGGTCTCCGTTGGCTAGAGTCAGCGTCTTGTTATCGTCTAGTACACTGTTCAGGTTCTCAATCCAGATGGCATCAACAGGGCCATCGAGAACAATCCATATGTGCTCCCCTATAACGAAAGATATTGGCAAGACCTTGAGGTCACGCCTGTTGGAAAACTAAACAGGATAACCATAAAATGGTGTTGTAATAGGACTGCGCTATTCACAGTGGTCAGGTTCATGACATTGTTTTAGTTTAGAAAAGCCTACAGCAGCTCAAAGATGCTCGAATGTAGGCAAGATCGCAATACGTTTTCTGTAGCTCTGAAACGAAAAGCTTCTTCTTAGTAAGAGAAGTGAGACAGGCATTACGAGTCATGAAAATAACAGAGCCAAGGGATCAGAGAACATCGTCTTGACTTGACACAATGTTGGCCGTGCCCCCAAACATTACACATTTTGTTAACTACACTGCAATAAAAGAATAACTGCCACTCTTCAATCACGATGTCAAGTACTTAAAGGAGTGCGTAACGGTTTGTGCCTTAATTATTTAAATGAGAGAAGCTAATACAAACCTTTCTTTGCCTTGAGGGTTTTTCGCCAAAGCGTGGAGAATATGCCATCAGTCCAGTCATTGGTAGCCACATCAAGCCTTCCAAACATCTGCGGCGCAGTGATGGCTTTTGGATTCATGCGCATCTCTCGATGGGGAGCACCGCAGTCACCCATGGCCTTCATGAGAATGTTAATACACACGCTCTTGCCTGCTCCACTGGGACCCAGGGTCATCATCCCGTGACGAACACGCTGAGTTTCATACAACTGGAAAAAACGAAGAAAAAAGGGTCCGCTGTAAGTAAATTGCAATCACGATTTGAAAATGGTTGGAAACCAACAGAATCTGTTAAATACCGGCAAGGACAAATAGAGCAAAGTCTTCAGCCTAATAATTGAGGACTGGCAACGGAAATAGTCGACTCTCTTACCGAGTACTTATATCTCAATTCCCATTTATATAAGCCGAATTATTCTCGCATTTTGATTGGTTCTTACTTATGATCTATTGGAGGCCAGACTTATAGATTACGTCATTAACATTGTTTTTTTTTTGCTTTAGTATATAAAACAAGTAGATTCCACATTCCCGTGCGTGTATTCAGTAAAAGATCACAGAAGACGTCAGCATCAGTGACACACTCGGCTTTCGCCTCGTGTGCCACTTTTTTGTTCTTACCACATTTTGACGCCATCTTTGATCAATTACTGAACAGACGAACGACAACAGGGAATCTATTTGTTAAATATGTGCATGGCACAAAGAGGTTCATGATAGATAACATCAAGTTATTCTTAGTTCAACGGAAACAATTACGTGAGAAACATCAAAGAGTGTTGTTGTATACCTGGATTAACTTGAGTACCCAGGGAGGATGGTAGATGAGTCCAGCCTCTTCGACGTGTTTCTGGATCATGGACTCCAGCTCAGGGTAACCTGCCTTGTCCAGGACTATTCCAGGAAACAAATCGTTGATCAAGCTCAGGAAAAGAGGCTCATCCTCGTCAACCTGTTAGCGAAATGGAAAGCATGGTTTTCCTCTGGAGCTGCAAACGATCTAGAGTTGTTTAAAGTGTAGTTCTGCCTTACCAGTTTGGAGAGGTTCATGTCTCGCAACACTCTCATTACAGTTGTGCTCTCGCTGTCTTGTGGGTTGGCTCGTTTGGCAGCGCCCAGTGTTCGCAGCACTGATAGGATATTCCTCAAACCAAAGTCATAATGAACCTGGAGACGGTATATCGAGCAAATTAACGAGACGTATTTAGAGCAGACCGTAAACGGAAAAACTGAAAGTCGTCAATATTCAAATAAGCAATACACTTTCAGGAGCGAGGAGACGATGGGAGACATTTGTGAGCTATATGCGTAATCCAAGGGGTGGGGGATATAGGGGATGTGAAAGCCTACCGCGGAGCAGAAGACGCAATTTCAGAAGAAGACGGAGGGATGGTATATGCTGATCCCGCTTTGACTCAATATTCAGATGTTAACAATAAAACTTTAGAGAATGTTTAAAGACTGACCTGTTTACTGAGCTGTTCTTCGCACAATTTGTACAATGTAAAGAACTTCTGTGCCAGAATGACGTTCTCTATAAAACCGCAACTGGCAAGTTTCACTCGCATGATGATCTGGAAAGAACAATATTAAATAAATTGTAAATCATAAAGAAAATACTCTTCTTTCCTCTCAGATAATAGAATATAATAGGAAAAAATTTGACGCTCATGAACGTATCATACGAAAACAGACTAACCTGTCTGTCCGGAACCATCATTGCTACTGTACGAAACTGGACTTTGAGGTTTTCTGGCAATTCCTGACGACCTGCATATCCTGGATTCTACAACGCATAATATATAGAAGTAAACAAGGGTTACATGGTGACACCATCATGAAGCACTAAGCAGATCACTTACCATGGTCAGAAAGATGCCAAATTCCGGATTGAGATCTACCACATCTCCATCACTGAACACAAACTGCTTCTTACGATCCTTCTTAGCTGTCAGCACAATGTAGATTTGTTGTGCGGCGACTGATAACACAGGCAGCTCAATACGATTGAACTCATCGAAACAGCCCCAACTTCCTGACTGCGCTAAGCCTGTAAATGAAGCACAAACGCGTTGAATTGAGAGGGTCCAACTCAAATAATTATGAGACAAGTTATCACTTCACTATACCAATAGTTTGGAGAAAGAAGAATATATCTTGGCTTGATTTGTCATGTTTCTACCTTTGTAAATCCTGCCTAGTCCTCTGAAGTCCATCTGATCAGAGCAATTGAAAACAACCACGTATTTCCCAAGAGCCTTGCCCATGTCTTTGGTTGTTTCTATAATAGCAAAAGACAATAAATTCTTACTGATTATGCGCTTACATTTTCACAGTGACTAGTGAGTGAGAGTGAGTGAGTGAGAACTTTATTAAAGTGTCAAAAACCTTATAGCCTGGAAATAATACACCATACTAATCAGGGGACACTGCTAAAAAACTATACTAATACTAATATTAATACAATAAAAAAAAATAAATGACTTGCAGGGCATTATGTGTAGCATAGGATGCAGCCCTTACAGTCGGTGTCCAGAGCACTGTCAGCTTGAGCCAGCAATTCACTAGTACAGGTGGAGAGAGTACAGTGTATTCCCCAAACAACACCACAGGCACACTAGACAAAAAAAAAACTGATGCTCCTGACAATTTGAAAATAGGAAAGCTGTGCCCGCGACTTACCAGTTTTGCCAGTGCCAGCGGGTCCAGCGGGTGCACCTCCCATTGACATGCCCAATGCCTGAGCTAGTGTTATATAACACCTGTCCGTGAGAGGAGTGATAACCAGTCTGTCTGTACAGCCTAGAAACTCGTTCTGGTAGCTGAAGTCCACGTCCGTGATAGAAATAATACAGTCATCAATATCCTCTTTGAAGTAGAAACGAGACTGCTTGAGCCACTCAAAGTCTGTCACTGAACGGACGTGCATCTTGACCTGTATTACAGGAAAATCAGAGGTGAGAATTGTACGTCGTTGCTCATACAACTACGTTTGAACGCTAAGGCCAAGGCCAGGTTGTTCAAAGATTTCAGTCTTGTAACTTTTCGGTGAGGTTTGCTGTATATATTGTTTGTCCTTCAGTCTTGGGTTTGAATAATTTCAAANTGATAGAAATAATACAGTCATCAATATCCTCTTTGAAGTAGAAACGAGATTGCTTGAGCCACTCAAAGTCTGTCACTGAACGGACGTGCATCTTGACCTGTATTACAGGAAAGTCAGAGGTGAGAATTGTACGTTGTTGCTCATACAACTACGTTTGAACGCTAAGGCCAAGGCCAGGTTGTTCAAAGATTTCAGTTTTGTAACTTTTCGGTGAGGTTTGCTGTATATATTGTTTTTCCTTCAGTCTTGGGTTTGAATAATTTCAAACTGCACAAAACATAAGCCGCAGTAAAACGTTCTTATACAAGAAAAATTAAGACTTCAGTTAACCTTTAGTCTTTGGTTAGCGTTAACCGGTTTTTGAATAACCCGGCCCCATGTTACGTTGGTAAAGTGTTAAGGTTCCAGCCGGGTAAGCTGAAGTTAGGGGGTTTAGGTCAATTATGGTTCGAATCCTGGTGTGGGAGTTATTGCTAAAGAAAGCCTCGAGTATATGAAACAATGTAATTTATGGAATAAGCAACGTCGACTCGAAACGTCCTCGAGTCGTTGTTTTCAAGGTCATAATTTGCAACGGTTTTGTGCACGTTTGTAGCTGTATGATTTTTTTCCTCTCCAACAATTTCCCTTTAAATTTTTTTAACTTAAAGAGGATCATTTTTACACCAAAATTACGTGATAAAAAATATAGGTCACCATGCTCGTTTAAGAGAAAACTAGCATTTATTTCGTTTTCGAGCTTAGCTTGAGCGAAATCTCTTAATGTTGTGTGTTTGCACGCGCTCATGTGCGCGCGCTGATGACGTGAAAATCGAGCGCAGTGGGGATGCGCAATGCAATTCTGAAGAATTACCTTTAAATATTATACCTAGTAAAGTGGCTGAAGTCTATGTTCGAGCCTACTGAGTGGTCCGTCAGGCCGGCACTGGCCGGTTTTAGCAGAATTAAGTGACTGGAAGTATTTCCACTCCCCTTGGATCAAAAAACACGAATTTTAATAATAGGTGATTCTTAATCCAAGGGGAGTAGAAATAGTAATTAAAATCACTTACTCTCACGCCAAGGTCATCCATCACATGTTCAGGTATATCGTATAGACACTAATTTGCTAATCATTTTATCTCTTAATTTGGTTATGAGATTTGTGGCAGCAGTAGCAGGAGGAGGATTTGAAAGGCAAGTGAAATACCCGCGTGAAAAGTGAAACCCGCGTGCAAGAACCTAGTGGTTTAAGAACCTACAGGCAGAAGTGTGCCATTTTAGTACCCCAAAAATCAAAGAACCTGGTAAGCCAAGCGAGATCAAGCAGGAGATTAACATTTTAAACAAAGGCTGTGACTTTGAGATTGCAAATTTACATTACAGGAAAATAGATAATACAGTTGTGAATAAATACTGTATGTTCAAGGACCAAACGCAGGTTTAATTATTTTCCCTGGTAATCAACAACTATATCTCCTTCATAGAAATCAAGAAGCTAATTAACCCTTTGAATACCAAACTTTCGCCAAAAAATACCGTTTTTAACCGTTTAGTCAGGTTTTTTAGCTGCCATGACGTTAAATAAGCNCTATCTGCTTATCAAGAATATCTGATGACATTTAAATTGATGACGTCACAAGTGGTACAAAGAGCACGACCATTAGTTACGCATATATATGCGTAGTTGGTATTAAGTTAAGCACCTACTTTACATAAATTGCCAATAACTATCTCAAAGTACAAAAACCTCTTTCACTAGACTTCAAAACCTGTAGGTTTATTACGGAAACAAGCGATGCCACCTTACCAAATCGTCAAAGATGTCCCTCTGATGTACGTGAATTGTGACAAACGTCTCGAACTTGGTCCTCTCCATTTTGGTGAGCTCCTGCGTTGTGACTTCAATCAGCGAGTTCAACAGATTCAAGAACTTCTGGTTCGTTGATGCCATGACCTTTCTGTCAGATCGCGCGTTTTTGAGCGCTTCTTCAGCGTCCCGCGTCCAGATCATCTGAATGCCTAGTAATCCAACCTGCCAGTGGGTAATAGCATGTCACGAATCATAGCATGTCACGAAACCAACACGTTATAGAAATTACGCAACAAATCACGAATAAACATGTCACGCCATGAATGGGTGTAAACAGGATGTCACAAAAAAAGGCCGACTAACAACGAGTGGCTAGTCTACTTACAAATGGGTAATAGTACTTCACTGAGGGAACGAGTATACAACAGAGCGATCTTCAATTGAGTGTCGAAAGTAACCCGCGTTTGCTTTGGTTTTGCAAGATTACGCAAAGTGGTTGGTTAAAAAAAAACTAGCGCTACTTTCTCATCCAATCAGAAAGCTAATTATGACTCGCTCGCACACGTTTTACTGCCACGTCAGTGATTGGCCAAAGAGATTACTTTGGTTTTGGTATATTTCACTCATATTAAAACTATTATAGCAAATCCTGCGATGAATGAACAGTACTTACAGCAATTCATGCAATGAACAAGTAAGACCACCTCACACAATGACAGAGTGCTTTAGCACATGGTGCACTTTGCTACAGGCAAATGTGTTACATACAAATTGAACTATGATGAAATGAAACCTATAAATAGTGCTTTAACGAAAGAATATAACCACACAAAAAATACCAGAAAACAAGAGAGAGTACCTGCGATGCGAACTGACCCAGGAAGTTCATGAGATTAAAGCCTCCGTCGTTAATGGCGTGATAGGCATCTCTGATGACAGCGTGAAGCGAGTTCATGGCCTGATTGAGCAGATCTCCTAACCACACCTCCACGTTACCTTTTGCCATGACTGCTGTCTCCAGCTATTGAAAGATACCAGTTTGCTAATGTAAGTAATAACTGTATTTAGAAAATAGTCCAAACAAAATAAGCGCGCTGATTGGTTTAAAAATCTTGCTTCTATTAAACAATTAGATCATGAGCTTGAGATTTCTATCGCGCATAGAACTCGGGAGCGAATAATCTAATTGTTTTAGTATAAATGTACTAGTCGTTCAAAACTTTATCTAAATCCTCTTCAGAGACACTTCGAAAGCGCCAAGAAGGGGCCATCATTTTGTTAACAAGGGCACACTGCTACGCTACTCAATATCTATCACAGAATAGAAAGTGAGTAACGTAGCCAATCAGAGAACGGCATTCGTGATAGAACGCTAGTAGATTTATACTAAAACTCGATAGAAATGCGGCACATGGTTCTATTTCTTTCTAAAAATTAATCTTCCGTTTTCTATCTCATTATTAGAGTAGAGTTGTGATCAAGGGAAAATAGAGTTTTACGAGTGGAAACTATTTGACTCAAGAAAGAAAATAGAACAACACAATGTATCTTCTCGGTCACTAATTTGTTCACTTAGTCTAGTGAGATCTTTTGGAAACGTTAAGTCAAAGTGACAGCTTGTCACATAGTCATAGCAGTTGACCACTTTTTCTCATACCTAACTAAAAGGCAATGCCAAAAGTGAATACTTTATGTTCCCTCTAACGCAAAACTCAGTGAAAATCAGATACTAATGCTAAGGGAATCAGTTATGCTTAGACCCTGACCGGTACAGTCTCTCCTTCTGATGAAATGATGGCCAAGATCCTGTCATAATCCTTCTCGTGAAACTCCACATTCTTTACGTTATCGAACACGTTCAACAAATGCGCCTGAATACGAGATACAAAAACGCATAATTACAAAACCATTTCACGTAAGTGCTAATGTGGCTTAAATCAAAACAAGTTAGTCTGAAGGGTCGTGTAAGCCAAACCTGGATGGTGTGTGAGTCACTGGCTTGTCCCAAGATTTCCAGAAGGGCGGGGTCAGAGACAAAGAAGAACCGAGGGAATACGAGACGCTTCTTTTCCAGATACCTGTCAGAGAACATTAGAGATACCATTTAAATCCATTAAATTCAACAAGAAGTTCGCGAATTAACTGAGAGAGAACTAAATTAGCGATTGAGCAAGTTGAATTTTACACAGTTCCACCTCAATATTTAAACAGCAGACATGTCTCTTACTTTAGAGACTTGGTGCGCTTTAATCGCTTTTTTGCTAAACTTTGTAATTGTATGAGTTTCTAGAACACTCCTTGCCGCTACCCGTCCGCAATATTANACGTAAGTTTGTGACCGTTACCTGTTATTGTAAATGCCAAAAAAGGGTCAAATTGTAACGTCTGTTTTAGTTTCTGTAGAGCATTACCGTGATAGCCTTGGCCTCTCTTTACAACCCTCCGCAATAAATTACTTTGGACTGACACTGTCACCTATACATCTACTTTGCCTGTTTCTGATCAACTCGGTGTTAAACGCACGCAAAACTGTATTAAAATTCACTAATCAGTCAGTTAAGTAAATGTTATCTGACTTGGTGCATTACCTATTGCTAAGCAGTGATCCCAGCACCATTAGACTGTCTTCCAGTAGTGAGATGATCTCAGTTGTTTCACTTCCCTTCAATAGTAACTCTCCGCGGTTCTTGAATCCTGCAAAGCTAAACGCTTGTGACTTCCACTCTGCTACAACCGCGCTCAGTTTAGCTTCAATGTCCTTCTCCTTGACGGCCGAGATGCATATGTCCTAAAATGGGTGGCAGTTTGTGAGAACTTAAACACAAGTTGTAAAGCAGTTTTTAACCATGATAAAAGTTTTGAGTTTTCTAAGTCCTGTCATTAGAATTTAGTAGATCACGTCCGACATGGTCTGACCAATCAGAACAATTCAACAGTTTTTTCCTAAGCCAACCAGCTGAGAACTTGAGCCAAACTTAAATTGGGTTCCTGACTTTTCCCGCGCTTGGCACAGTCGCAAGTTTTTTGCACCCCCGCCACTCACTGGAAGATTTTCCCGCGCTTGGCACTCACTACAAGGTTCTTCCACAATCTTTGATTGGCTCAGGAAGCTACATGAACGCGACATGAAATGTGGATGCATAACATGTGATTTACTGACCTCAATGTCTTCTTTGTTTTCTAGCAGTGGCGCCTCCATGATATTCCTGAGCAAAAAGTTTTCTGATTCGACATCAAACTTGTGCCCTGTGACTGTAGCTATTCGGTCCCAGTGGCGCTCTTTCATAGCTTTGTTGGCCATCAACTCCAGAAGAGGGCAGCACTCGTTAAAATCGTCAATCTTCTTCTTCAGTTCGTTGAACGCTTGCCATTCTTTAAGGGCTTTAGGCAGCTTACGACACCTGATGTATTATACCAAAGCGTTATAATGTTCGTCCGATCAACGTAATTGTTACTCTAGCAATCTAGAAGTACGTTAATATAAGTGTCGAGTGTTAATAGTCCTAAAGCATCAAGACTTCGTATTTCTCTTATTTTTTGCAAACGCCAAATGAGGGTACTGTTCACCGACGAAATCAGGTAAAAAATGTTATGGTTTTCAGCGTCAATAGTCTAATCATAATGTTTAAAAAGTTTGAGTTTGATCGTCAAAGGCGCAGTCTTCACTATTCACCATAACGTTGAAAGGTAGTCTGCGTCAAGCGAGAGGCCCATACAGGCAGAACTTATCCCGGTTTCTGTAGC